CCTCAACACCACATAAGCAAAAAGAAAAAAGCCAGAAGTGGCACTGTGGCTCAAGTGGTAGAGCGCTAGCCTTGAGCTGAAGAGCTGAGGGACAGCGCCTAGGCCGAGTTCAGGCCCCACAAATGGACCCCCCCCCAAAAAAAAGGGAATTCTCCTTAGAAAAATGGTATTGTCCTTAAAATAAATGAGGTCAAAATAGAAGGGAATTCAGAAAGGTAATAAAAAGAAGTGACATACTGGTCTTTGTGCACCAAGATAAGGACTTAGGGAATTAGAAGTGGCCTGTGGTAGCAACTGGCTTAGCATATACAACTTCTTGAGTATGACCCCAGCACTATCAAAAGAAGAAGGGAAGGACTCTTGCTGTTGCTCTAGGTAGTGGAAAGCCAGTGCTGGATGTTTTGTTTTGCACAGCAGTGATGGACTGTACTTTTTAAAAGTTCACTTATGTAGTTTGAAATGTTTCACATAGTGGTGTGTTGAAAGTAGAATGAAAGGGACAAAGTGGAAATCAGGATTAGTTAGATATTTGTTGTGTACTGAAAATTGGTGGTATCGCTCTCTTTTTTTTTTTGTTGGTCGTGGGGCTTTAACTCTGGGCTTGAGTGCTGTCCCTGCTCCCTTCAGCTCAAGGTGAGCACTCTACCGCTTAAGCCACAGCGCCACTTCTGGTTTTCTAGTGGTTTATTGGAGACAGGAGTCTCATGAACTTTCCTTCCCGGGCTGGCTTTGAACCATGATCCTCAGATCTCAGCCTCCTGAGTAAGGATTATAGGCATGAGCCACCGGCGCCCGGCTCTCTCTTACATTTGGATAGAAAGAGAAGTAGTTTGCTTCTGTTTTTTTTTTGTTTGTTTGTTTGTTCTTTTTGTGGTATTGAGGATTAAATTTTCATGCCAGGCAAGTGCTCTACCACTGAGACGTATTCCTGGCCCTAGGACTTGAACTCAGGGCCTGGGCTCTGTCTCTGAGCCTCTCTGTGCTCAAGGCTAGTGCTCTACCACTTGAGCCACAGTGCCACTTCCAGCCTTTTCTCTTTATGTGGTACTGGGGAATCAAACCCAGGGCTGCATGCATGCTAGGCAAGCACTTTACTACTAAGTCACATTCCCAGCCCCTGATTCTCAAAATTCTCGATAGATTTTTGGTCATGTTTTGATGAAACAGTACTGATTTCACTGGGTGTAGTGGCCGATAACTGTAATCCCAGCACTTAGAAGCTGAAGCTAGAAAGTAAGAACAAGGCAACTGGGCACTGGTGGCTCAAAAAAGTGCTGACTTTTAAAACTAATAACTTAAAGGTTAGTATATTGGCATGTTCTTTAGTCTCAGCTACTCAGGAGGTTGAATCAGGAAGATAGCTTGTGTCTAGGAGTTTAGTGCTAGCTTGTACAACACAGACTCATCTTTTAAAATTAAAAACAAAAAACCTGATAACTTAAAAACTACTGTATTAAATACAAATTAAAAATGGTCAAGCTGGGCACCAGTGGCTCATGCTTGTAATCCTAGCTACTCAGGAGGCTGAGGTCTGAAGATCAAGGTTCAAAGCCAGCCC